TTGTTACAGAAGCAAGAAATTGGCCTATGGAAACCTGTGGCATACTACTCTCGGAAGCTGACTGGGGCAGAAATGAACTATGAAATTCATGACAAAGAACTCCTAGCCATTGTAGCAAGCATGAAAGAATGGGACGCAGAGCTACAGGGCCTAGCAAACGCTTTCACTATCCTAAGTGACCATATGAATTTGAAGTACTTCCTCACAACATGAAGGCTGACAGAGCGGCAGACTCGATGGGCAGAATTTCTATCCCGATTCAGGTATAAACCCGTGTACATGAAAGGGGTAGATAATGAACGGCCAGATGCACTCTCGAGAAGGGATCAAGATAGACCTATGGAAGGCGACCCACGACTCTTAAGACGCGAGCGCCAGGTCTTAACACCAATTCATGCGTCAAAGTTGTGTATTAATGGTACTAATGTTGCAGAAGGCCATGAAATAATTGTCAACGAGGACTTACAGGAACTTTGGAATCAGGCGTTATATAATGAAGAAAGTTATATTCAGGTTGTAAGCGCAGTTCGAAGTGGAGATCGTGCGTGGCCCAAGGACCTCAAATTAAAAATAGAAGGTTCGGACGAGCCTAGTCCAATTAAGGCGACGATCGCCGCTTGTGAATTTGACAATAGTTTTGGTGTAGTTTGCTACCAAGGACGGATATGGGTGCCTTTATATGAGCCTCTAACAACTGCGATTATCCAGAATACCCATGACTCAGCTGTCTCAGGTCATCCAGGGAGAGATGCAACGCTTGCTCAGGTCGCTCGTGAATATTTTTGGCCTGGAATAAGTAAATGTTACGGTTTGACTGTGGTTTGAGCTTAGGTGGATACCTAAACCTGTTACTAAGAATTCTTACTATGAGGCTATATGAGGGGGAGATGAAGCTGAACGAAACGGGACTACTACTCAGCAGGCTGAAGCGTTATTACAACTTAGTGACACGTGGAAATACGTGGCTGGGTAAGAAGTGTTGTGCCTAAGAACAAGTCACTAGTCTGTAGATTCACGAGGAGGATTAACTCCTATAAATACCTGTTAGTAGTAGCTAGAGTTAGCTTTTCTCCTCATATAGTTTATTAAATTGATTTATTCATCACCAACTCGGTTTCTGTCACAGTAAATCAGTCAAGCGGTTCTGTAAAAACTGTCATGTATGCGGGAGGTCATCAATCTGGCGACACCAGAAACAAGGGCTTCTTAAACCGTTACCAGTACCTGAAAGATTCTATCAAGAGCTTTCTATTGACTTTATGGTGGACCTTCCCAAATCAAATGGTGCAACAAATATCATGGTAATTACTGATAGATTGTTGAAATCAGCGACACTGGAGTCTATGGATAAGATGGATGCAGAATCTTGTGCTAAGCGATTTATAGAATGTCACTGGCGCTATCACGGGTTTCCAAAGGCTTTAACTAGCGATAGAGGGACTAATTGGACCAGTAAATTCTGGAGAAGACTATGTGAAATGGTTGGAATTGAACAGAGGCTGAGCATGGCCTATCATCCTCAAACTGATGGAGCAACGGAAAGAATGAATCAGGAAGTCCAGACTTACTTGAGAGCGTACGTTTCTTATACTCAGCACGACTGGTCCAATTGTCTCGCTGCAGCTCAGCTTGCAATTAATAACAGAGATGTTGTGTCTTTAGGTGGCATAAGTCCATTTTTCGCAACACACGGTTATCATGTCAACCCAATCCAAATTATTACCAAACAGTCAAAAATCTCAGTATCTACAGGAAAAGAAAGGGCTGAAAATTTTGTCGAAAGATTACAAAATGTTACAATTTTCATGCAATCCGCAATGGCTGCTATTCAAGAACGCCACAAGGACTTCACGGATAGAAAGAGGCAACCAGCGCCAAGGTATGAAGTCGGTGATAAAGTTTGGCTACTACTGCGAAACATTAGATTAGAAGATCAACCTTCTAAGAAGTTGGGATGGCAACATGCAAAGTACACAGTCACTAAACTCATTTCGCCGGAAGTAGTGCAACTCGATATCCCTGGGAAGATACATAACCGGTTTCATGTAGATTTACTCTTACCAGCAGATGAAAATCCGTTGCGGTCGCAAAAATTAGAAGATGAAAATCCAGGTCCAATAATTGAAATTGATGGCGAAGAAGAATATCAGATTGACGAAGTTCTAAGATGTAGGACAAAGAAGGGAGAGAGACAGGCCTTAGTCAAGTGGACTGGGATGGCGCTACCAGAGTGGACATCACTAATAAATTTACAAGATGCTGCAGCACTCGATGTTTGGGAGAAGAAGTGGGGCTCAGCAGAGACCAACAACGGGCCAGCGTCAAGGAAGGAGATAGTAAGAGGGTAAATGAGGGGGTAATATTACGGTTTGACCGCTATTAGAGCTTAGGTGAATACCCAAGCAGATTGTTGGGAATATTCAAAACTAGGCAGCACTACTAGTCAGGAGGTTGAAGCGTTACTACAACTAAGTAACACCTGGCAATGCGTGGCTGGGTAGCAAGTATTGTGCCTAAGGATAAGTCATCAGTCTGGAGATTGACGAAGGGGACCAATTCTTATAAATACCTGTTAGTCGTAGCTAGAGTTCTCTTTTCTCCTCATATAGTTTAATAAATCGATTTATTCACAACCAACTCGGTTTCCGTCACATATGACATGATTCACCAATCATTTCATAGACTAGAGCCTAGCACAACTCAGGGATAAGCCTAAGGTATCTGAATATTAAAGGATTAATATATCATAGGGCTGAAGGATGATGGGAGATCCAGACATCCTGCATCATAATGGTTGAATGGTCGGATGGTTAAGTGGTGATAGAGCTAGCTCGAGCGGATTGCAGAGAAGCCGAGCAACTAGGCACCTAAGTAAAAAATATCCCCACATACTGTTCTTCACATTATTCACTTCACTTTCATAACTCGAGACCTTGGCATAAAGCCAAATAATTCATATAGTGGGTTCCCCTAGTTAATTTCCTCTCCAGTTTAAGATTCTCTTTTGTACCTTAATCTAGATAGTTCGTGAATAACATCTATCTTACGACCCTTACAAATCAAGTCTCATATATAAGGTCTGGTGACTGGTACTTCGAGGAGGGCTCATACTAATAGCCCAAAAGTTCTGGCCTGTAGGTAAAGTGGACCTCACCTCCTAATATAATTTCAGCCCTCTATCAGTTATTTTTAATTGCAATATATTTTGATGGCGTACGCAGTCTGCTAGCTTTGAAAACATATCAGAGAAATAGTATAGAAAAGATGACTCAATAAATAAGAAGAGCATTCATGTCTCGGATTTTATCAGTTATCAACCTTGTGTGGAAAATTATCTACAAATATCAAATTTTTTCAACCTTATTCAATATCCCCATGAATGAATGGTGATGTTACGGCGAGGGTCAGATGATGATAAGATCGCCGTCTGCTAAGATTGGAGATGGGTGGTCGAATGAGCTGGCGAGATACCAGGAGGTCAAAACTGAATAACTAGAAGCTGGGACTGGAGGACGAGAGATCAAGACGAGTAGAAAGACGAGTGCGATTTTCGGACTATGGAGATATAAGATTGAGAAGCTGGAGGACTACTTCGTGGTAACTCCAGCTTCCTTAAGTACACTAGACTACGTAATGAATTTCAACTGAGGCTTTGGGATCATTAGGTTATGACTCCAGCCCGTCTAACTCTAGCTTTCCGAGTTTCCCGGAAACTTAGTTATTGAACCTTCCCCGAGATCCGTTTCCCGAGAACCTTCTCCTTAACCCTTGTCCTTGAACCTTTTCCTTAGAACCTTATCCTTGAACTTGCCTCAAGGATGCCTAGCCATAACAGGTGAGTTTTCTAATCATGGCTCACCATATGGTTCATGTCAGGCGCAGGTTCATTAGGCGCAGGGCTCGAGGCGTAGGAGAGGGCGTAGCGTAGGATGTACTGAGGAAGGACGCCTCGTGGTAACGCGGAGGGCTTTCTAGAGAAGTGGTAAAAGGGAAAGCGGGGAGTCGTTCTAGATAGAGGGGCCGGAGGTGACAGTAGGTCACTGTAGTTGGCAGAGGACGAGAGTGAGACGTGATTAGAATAATATAACTATTCCTAAAGACAGAAAACAAAGCGTGAAGATCTCAGTCTCGGAAATGGAAACTACATAGGTGCCCTCGCTAAGCAATAAAGACTAGTGGGATTAAATAAGGGACCCATAACTCCTGCCTGAGGCATTTCTCAAGAATCCTTACAGTTCATATCCTGTATAAATGAAGACAAGTATGGGTTGGTAAAAATCACTGAAAAATAGAACGCCATCCCATAATTAGCACAGGTATGAGCCGTCTTACTTGCAGCAGGTGGGCCCTGAGCGAATAAGACACGATAGCCAAGTCGGGTAGGATGCACGAAGGAGTGAAGCAAAAGGACTAAGCCCGTCATGCTTGTTAATTAATGTATGCCGTTTCAACTTTTTCCAGCTACCTAATGTAGCCACACACGAAAACCTTCCACTAGATTAAATCAACGGACCATGCCGATCAGGAATACCATTTGGCAAGGGATTACAGTTGAGGTAATTTAACGGATTCCTGTCTTGGCAGAATGAGATTTAATCTTTCCATGTACGTGACACTAATCACGCATGATTCAGACAATCATTAATAACGAAGGCAATAGGGAAGAGGATTACACCTTCGTTTCTCTGCTGCTTTATACGATTGGTCTGTAGGCGGCAGCTTTTTAGTCATTTAATTCTCAATCATCACGTTGGCACTACATCGTGCTTCCCCCAAGGTTGAAGTAAATCAGAGTTGTCGTCCCTACAATAGAGATCATACAGAACCTCAATATCATCTCTAATCTTCGCGACTGAAGCATCGGCATAAGTCAATAATTTACACTATTTTATTGAAATATATTCCACCTTGTAATTCTCATCCAATAGGCTTTGGTCGTCTCACCAGAACCACCCTTTCTCAAGTCCATATTTTAGCTCCATTTTGTTGGCACTATCTTAATGAAGATTCTCAGTGTGGTTCCCGCCAGCGCTTTTACTTTCTTGTTGCTTCTAGGGTCTGTCGTTCAAGGATATATAATGATAAAATGCTCTACTGAACGAACTTTTCCAATCGGAGAGATGCGAGAAGAGGCATCCAAAGCTAGTTATGAATTTGTACATGACCATCACCCTTTAGGTCCCGATGGGCAAAAGTGCAAGGGATATCAGCTCCAAATTTCATCAATTCAAGGTCGGTCCTCCCTGCTCTTAGGTTATGCTGCCACTGAACACACCCCTTAGAAAGAATCGTAGAGGAATACTTGCTCCAAGTTTGTGGCCTCCTCAAAGACTTCAGAATGTATGAACGTGTTGATGGTGTTTGGACAAGATGTAGACCATATGACAATGGTATACGGTGGATATGATGGATTTCCGAATCAAGTATAGGGGCTGATAAGATTGTCTAAAAATAGAGGGTAAGTGTTTGTTGTAGAAGAAATAAGAGAGAGAGGTGTGTTTTGTGTACAACTTGAGTCTATGGCTATCTAGCACATTGGGCTCCTCTCTAGCCCAGGAAACACCTTGTAAAGTGCTCCTTGCCTCACATGTTACTTGTAAGATCATACAAGAAATGAAAAAGTGACGGATCAAAGGAGAAGCAGCCCTGCCTTTTACACAGCCTCGAATAAGAATATGACATGTTATCTCATTTAACCCTTCATTTACCCATGTTCCACCATCAAGCCTTCCATGCTGTTGAGATATAATATATCTTGAAAGGCCAAGAAAGACAAATTTGTAGGTCTGGCTTGCTAGTCGAGCGAATTCCCCATCCTATGTTATTGTTATGAGTACACTCTCTCCTGAATGTTTGACGTGCAATGGTATTTATCTCATGCTAACATTCCAGCGGATGACTGTGTCTCAAATGCAAGTTATAGGATGGGAGGGCAAGACTGAATACTTGTACGCGGTGTCTTCTACGAAGCTGGGAGTGAAATATTCTCTCAGAGCCAAGTTCAGTCAAACTTCGCAACACCAAAGAAATTGGCCCACAAGGCAATGATTCAAATTACTCCTCCACGTCGTTTTTTTACTCCCAACGGGTTTGACTCCTACCTAAGTCTCATTAAGCCTACAATTATGACCAAGTACATCCTCACCTCAATGACCACACCACTCTTCGACCTTCTCTGGTCTTAGATGGTCACCAAATACACGCCCACACCGATACTTATACACGACAGAGGAAGCAAAGCGTGGCGCACAAATCTGGGAGACACTTCTCTGGACGTACGTGAGAGGAATCGGGACGAATTTACAAGATGACACGGTGGTTGGATACGATCTCGACAGGCGTGTGATTTTAAATTTTGGCAAGGAGTTTCAAGAATTGATCTTTGTGCGCGCCAAGACTCCGATTGCGAGAGTGCGAGCGATACTATAAAAACAAGCCAACGATGGAAGATATTGTGGTCCGCCTCCTGGTGGTGTTCGCTGATATAGTTTGAGTAGCCTGGACACCTGCTCCACTTGGGAAGGAGACGCCCAAGACTATATTTCGTGCGGAGAAAAGTTAATGGATGATGGAGGCATGTCTGGATAACTCAGGGTTTTTGAGACGTTCTCCTGGGTGGATATTCACGAATGAGGGTTGACTTGGGCTGAAGAAAAAGCCGGCGCAACTTTGCAGTGGTCCTCGCGAATGAAATCCGAGGCATGAGTACTCTTCTTACAAATTTAGTCATCTTTTCTCCACTATTCTTTGAAATTGTGTCATAGCTATATAGCTTCATACGCAATTCAAATCTGATGCAAAAATAAAATTAAAAGGCCAAGCAAAAGTTCGCCTCGTTGTTGTGATCTGGGAATATCCCAGAATGATTTATGTAGGTATGCATAAACCGTTCTGCTATAGTGCTTCATAAGGATGTTATTGTAGACTGCTGCACAAACAGGAATACCCGTGCTATGATTGGTGTCACGGACGAGGACGAAGACAAGGACGAAGACAGAAGCTGATAATGAGGACGAGTTATTTAGATTAATAATTAGATTCTAAAACATGAGTAATTTACAAGACAAAAAGCTACAGTACACATCCAGTCCTAGAGCTTTCTTAAGTACACGAGCTTCAATACTATAACCAAGGGTGTAGTTGTCCACAGCCATAACACAGTAACTAACTGGTACTCCGAATGGCAACTGTTACTATCTGTTGTTCCACAATCTTAGAGCGACGGCTACTGTAGATTTTCTTTGGGGCGAATTAACAAATATATTATATTAAGTATATATATCGCAACACCCCTATCCACTGACACCTCTCCCGAAGGAACTCCTGACCAGAATAGTTTTCCATCTCAGCTCTGACAACCTTTTCTTCTATGACTAATTCATGACTAATCCAAAGCTCCTTCCTGATCAGTTTCAGGGTTAAGTTTACTCCAAGCAGATTAGGGTACTGTATGCGAGAGTATTCCTACACTATCACAACACTGTTACCATTACAATTCCTAAATTATGTTATTGTATGCACGTCGTGATGCAGTTGCCCGGGCACGACGCGACATGCCAGAGATGGTTTGTAACAATTGGTGGGATGAGTATGTTGTGAACCTGCAAGGGTCATGGGAGAGTAGTTTAGGTGTGGTCCGCAGTATATTGAGTCCAGAGCACACAACCATCTTTTGTGGAAACCCGAGGGACAATTGAGGTTCCATGAGGTTACACACCGCTCACGTGCCACGCTCGGACACACACACCACATATCTTTTGTATTGTAAAACCTTAGATAGAGAATACACTCTAGTAGTCTGAATACCTTCACCAGTACAGTCGCGGATGTTATCACGTCCCTTTTGTGCTAGAAGACATCAGACTAGGAGCCACAAAAACAATTATTTTTGTTAGGAAACCCCTTTACATTCAAACTCGTTTTTCTTGAATTCTACCCTCATTCCCGACCGAGAATATCCATCCCGTCCCCATCCTTCTACAAACCATTCACCATCCAATAGATCTCTTTCATCCGATCTAATGGCTAAGGAAGGCGAAACTGGCTCGTCGGCATCACCGTCGTCGAAAATTATCATGTCGGGCACTGTATCAAAGAGGTTCAAAGACATTGACAATAGACTCGATAATATCGACAGCAATCTCGAATCTCTCGGTAGCAGCCTTGCATCGATCAAGCAGGCTCTGGATCATCTTTCCAACAACCGTACTCCCAGGAAAAATACTGAACCTGAGTACGACTACGAACCTCCTTCTCTGCAGGCCCAAGAAGCCTTGAGACAGCAAGAGATCAAGGCGAAGGCAAGACTCCCGGACGGAAAAATTAATATACACCACGTCCCCCAAGAAGAAGCTCCTCGTCCACATAACCTCGGCGAGAAATACGTACAAGAGATCTGGCCCGAAGTAAAACTTCGAAAGTAAATCATTGCCCTAGGTATATCGTACGATGGAATCCCTGAGGATGCGTACAGGATTAGAGTGGTGTTAGACCGATCTTGGGAGATGCACCTTGCAATCGATACAAAAATCTTCCTGAAGCTGAGGGAGATACAGCGTTCCCTGGTGCAAGCAGCAGTCCCTTACCAGCTCTGGGCATCCAAGCTGTCCCCATTGCTAGATGGAGATTACCAGGCTGTGTCACGATTCATCGAAACTAATAACGCAACTTGGACGCAAGCTCTCGAGGCAATCTTTGAGTGCATGGAACGGCACGGTACACTCAGACGTCCAGTGGTAACGTTTGCTAGGATGGCCCCGTACAAGGAGGAAAGTTATCTTAACTTCGCCTGGCGGATTCGGGCAGCATTCTATGCTCTGCCAGTGCAGTCACAAGAATCCCACTATGTTCGTGATTTGCAGCACGAAATCATGAAAATGTACATGCCTCGAGCATGGGCATAATTACTCACACGTATCTCAATCCTAACTAACCCGGAACTCATCGAGGAGGTGATAGTGCTCGCAGGCAACATCTCTCGATTCGAGGTGGAGGATGACATCTACACCAGGCCGAGCGTCAATGTCACTCTACAAGGACAAGCCTCACCCTACTACCAACTGCAGGTTAGTGAATCCACAATTACGACGCCCGGAAAGGCGGAGATTGTGCAACCAGATGCCCAGACCACACATACCGGTCTGACTATCATCGACCCCAGAAAGGACAATCGTGCGGTGCATACCACGCGTGAGGGAGAGGAAGAGAGTGCATATGCAGCTCGCGGTGGCGATGTAAAATGCTATAGCTGTGGGAAGATGGGACACATGTCCAAAGACTGCAGGGCACGCAAGCAGTCGTCAAATCAAGGATCCGGTGGCGGTAGTCATTCCGAGCCAGTCACAATCAAGGGAACACTGTTCCATGAGAACAAAGGCAACAACCAGGCCTTTGGGAAACGCTTTCGGGATCAGTTCAGGAAAGTAGTAACTCGCGGCCGGCCCAAGAGCACCAGTAAAGGACGCGGTGGCTCGGCATTCGTGACCGGTGCGCCAGACGACGAAGAAGATTTACCGGAGGATCAGTGGGACGAAGACATGGTTGAGGACACGTTGACGCAGCTCTATACAGCGATGGAGGCTGATGCAGCGGAAGAATGAAGGTCGGAGTTTGTCCACTACGTGGCAGTGGATGAGCAGATACCAAAAGCTCCACTTGATCGACCTCTTCGAGAGGGAGCAAATCAGCCACATGAGGTCTTTCGCATACGTTTGTGTTCTTCCCTGGACACATTCAGTACCGTTCCAGACTACGGAAGCCCTGCTAGCTACATCTCACGGAAGCTAGCAGCCAGGCTCCAACCCTACAGTTCTCGCAAGCCATCAACTCTGAGCGGAATTGGAGGTTCTGGACCAACAATTGATGAAGACGTCGTGGTACGCTTCGCGTGGAAGTTGCCTAAAGGATGGTCTCTGCCATACGAGGTGTCTGTGGGAGTAGTCGACGATGATTCATTCCCTGGAGATCTCACCCTAGGCAAGTTAGTCTTTCACAAGATCGGTCCAGCATTCCTTGAGGACGGAGCTGTACAACTGAAATCTCACCCGGGTACACCAGTCCTGGTACCTTACAAGAGTAAGACAATCACGTTCGCTACGGAGCAGCGTGTTATGTCGACATCGGAGGAGGTTATTGCACAGCTGGACAATGTTGACGCCAAATACCATAACATTATTGCATCTTGGAATGAGCAATTTCCCGGCGTATTTGATCCAGCAAGGAGGAATACCGCAGAAAAAGCTACTGTCATGCATCGCATTGATACAGGCGATTCATCTCCAATCCGTCAAGCTCCGAGACGATACTCACCAGCTCAGGAGGAAGCAATGCGCGAGTTCTGTTCAACCCACATCGGCTCGATTATCAGGAAGAGCAAGAGTTCTTGGTGCTTGCAGGCGCTGCTTACAC